CAATAAATCAAACTTTTTGTCATATAGTAGCCTATACTCTCTCTCCTATAACAGCAGAGGAGCTGCATATGTTCCTCTTTTGTTGCTTTGGATAAAAGCATGTAATGTAGGTTTATAAGCTGCAAATATCAGATAATAAGCCAAAGCTTTGTTGCAATCTGTTGCAATCCTTTCAGATCATGTGACTTTCACCTCTCTCTGTCTGTAAGAAAACAACAATTCACAGAAGGTAAATAAAGAGAAATAAACAGTGTCATCTACAGCTATAGAAACTCAGAAAATCAGCACAACTGTAATCAATCAGTGAATGAAACTGACTGAAATGTTTTTCTTATCGAGATGATTTTGTCAGTGCAGGTGAAACCAAACACAGATCTATAAACTGATCACATTACAGTAGTGGAGTATCTTACCTCATCATTAGACTTTCAGCAGAACCCCTTGTTTGTTTTTCTTCTTGTCTGTTTCGAAAAATCATCACACACAATTAAACACCAATTTTGCAAAATGAAAAGGTTTTCCTCTCACTATAGTATCTGTAGGTGATACTTGCCATTTCTGTATCTCATGCGGCGATAGATCATCACACCACCAACAACTGCAGCCACCAGCAGAACAGCAACAACAATTCCTGCTACAGCAGCTGAAGACAGACCTGAATCTGGAACAGCTAAAGACAGACCGTCATTAGTGTGAGTGAATCTGACGGTGTGTTTATGCCATATTCACTGGATATATATTCTCTAGACACCTTTACAGGGCCAATGTGCAGATGTCAAAAACGTATTTATATATTAACATACAGAGATTATTTCATATTATAGATGGTTTAAAACCAAATAGAGCTCTCAGATCGCAAGGATCAAACCAGTTCATAACATCTAGTTCATTTAAAACATGATGAGATGGAACCAGCTTCCAGAAGACGTCAGATGTGCCTCTAAGTAGCTACTCATAGATCCAGAAAATTCATCTTTTTATCTGTGCATTCCCTGATTGAGCATGTTTTCTGTACTGTACAGTTTAAATTAAGCCCCTTGTCCTTTTATGTCCCTTATATTTATTTTAATGTAAAAGTTTCTTCAATTTCTTCATCTTTTTCTTAAATAGTTCCTTTTAGTCTTTTTTAGTGTTAGGGCATCATATTTTTAATTACAATTTTTGGGCATCAACCTATTTTTGATAACAAAAAAAAAATATACAGTGGGGGAAAAAAGTATTTAGTCAGCCACCAATGTGATTTTCTGGATTTTCTTTTCTCATTTTGTCTCTCATAGTTGAGGTATACCTATGATGAAAATTACAGGCCTCTCTCATCTTTTTAAGTGGGAGAACTTGCACAATTGGTGGCTGACTAAATACTTTTTTGCCCCACTGTATATATAAATATATATATATTTATGCAAAGCAGTTTGAATTACCCTTTATAAGAAATGTGCTTTATAAATAAACTTTCCTTGGTTAATTAAATTTATAATATGAAATATACTGCTGACACACCTGAATGTAACTGACAGAAATATGAGGAAAATGCCCCTATCAGAACAATTTACTTTTATAATTTATATTTTGACAAAAAAAAGAAAGAAAGGGGGATGACACATACTTGCATCAACAGATATCACCTGTTGCTGATGCCTTTGACGATATCAAGACTTATTATTATTAGGCTAGTATTATTATCTAATTAATATTAGGGCTTATTTGTTCCATCATATTTCTTTTTACATGTTTTACAGTGTTGCACATTATAACCAATCACACACGATTCCATTGAGTTTATGAATGCAGCGGCCAATCAGAGGCATTCAGATGAGTCACCGCAGTTTTGTTGAGCTGACTCGCTGACTGAATTCTGCTCTATTGCAAATTCTCATCATAAACAACAAAATGCATATGCATGTGCGATATAAGTATAATAAATGTATTCATCATACAGTTTAGACAGCTTCACTGATTATAATGTGAGTTTTTTGTGCATAAACTTGCACTAGACTGAAGTCATTGATGATGTTCTTTGGTAATGTAAATGTTCTTTGCTCGTTTTCTGTAGCTGCTTTTTAAAGAACTTTTTGAAGTAAATGCCTGAATGTAACTGACAGAAATATGAGGAAAATGCCCCAATCAGAACAATTTACTTTTATAATTTATATTTTGACAAAAAAAAAGAAAGGGGGATGACACATACTTGCATCAATATTTTGGTCCAGTGGTGCCTTTTGGGTTCCTTTCTCTGGGAACAGGTGATATCAGAGATATCACCTGTTGCTGATGCCTTTGACGATATCAAGACTATTATTATTATTAGGCTAGTATTATTATCTAATTAATATTAGGGCTTATTTGTTCCATCATATTTCTTTTTACATGTTTTACAGTGTTGCACATTATAACCAATCACACACGATTCCATTGAGTTTATGAATGCAGCGGCCAATCAGAGGCATTCAGATGAGTCACCGCAGTTTTGTTGAGCTGACTCGCTGACTGAATTCTGCTCTATTGCAAATTCTCATCATAAACAACAAAATGCATATGTATGTGCGATATAAGTATAATAAATGTATTCATCATACAGTTTAGACAGCTTCACTAATTATAATGTGAGTTTTTTGTGCATAAACTTGCACTAGACTGAAGTCATTGATGATGTTCTTTGGTAATGTAAATGTTCTTTGCTCGTTTTCTGTAGCTGCTTTTTAAAGAACTTTTTGAAGTAAATGTAAGCATTATAATTAATAACTTACAATGTTTTTATTAAACTGTTAGAATATTAAATACAAATTCAGTCATATTAAAAACATGTAATGAGTTAGAGGATTACTCTAACATTAGGCTGCTTTTAGCCTTATGCTGGAGTTAATTCACTCTCTGGCTATGAAACCAAGTAAGTAAATAAATCAATAAATTAGCACGATTGTGCATTGGCGATCTCACAGGCTGACGATAGGACAATAATATTATTGACTCTGACTTAAAAACTTTTAAAAATATCAGACAGCCAATGTATAGAAAATGTGGATTAAATTTATACTGTTCTGAAGCAGGTAAAGACTTGTCACTGCTAAAAGAAAAAAAAGACATATAAACACAAACATATAACCTGCATTTAAACATTAATTAAATGACTCACCAGTGACAATAACATTGAAGATCTTTTCATTGTTGCTGCCGCCCACCAGTAGTTTATATTCTCCAGAGTCTGTGATTCTGGTGTTTGTGATGGTCAGAGATCCAGTCTGATGATCCAGCTTCAGTCCGTCTCTGAATCTCTCAGGACACTGTTCATCTGTACAGATCTTCTGAACTCCATTGATGTAAGCAATGCGCTTGCCATTAAAATACCACATCGTTATGTCTTGATGGTTAATTTTAACATCAGTGTGTAGAGTGACTGGATCTCCCTCCTTCACTGACACTGACACTCTATCTGAACCAGCATCAGACACACCTGAGATTAACAAGAAATTAACCATTATATACTGTGTGTATGTATATATATATATATATATATATATATATATATATATAGCATGCATCTTAAAGGGTTAGTTCACACAAAAATGAAAATTAGCTTGTGTTTTACTCACCCTCGAGGCATCCTAGATGTATATGACTTTCTTCTTTCAGACGAATCCAGTCAGAGTTATATTAAAAATTGTCCTGGCTATTCGAAGCTCTATCATTGCAGTCAGTGGGTGTTGCAGTTGAACAGTCCACAAGTTGTCAAACAAAGCACGCACATCCATAATAAAACATCCCTCACACGGCTATGGGGGGTGAATAAAGGCCTCTTGTAGTGAATCATATGTTATCTGTGTAGCGTCTGGACCAATCAAACACACAATTTTTCATTTGATTTAACAAATCAGTTCTTCATTAGATTAACAAATCGCCACAGTCCCCTCACCCAATAAACTGGATGCCAGGATGTCTGCAAATGACACCAAACCATGGCAACCCTGACACCAGATACTTTTACGACCTCATGGAATGTGAGCAGGGAAAAGCACTGTCTTTTCATAAGGAAAATCCCCAAGGCACAGTAGGAATGGACTTTTCTACTAATTAATTCATAGGAAAAC